TCTTCATTATCCCCCCAATTATCCCCTCCCTCTCCCCCTCCTCCTTTTCACTCGCTCGCCTTGCCGAAGCCTCCGAGACGACACGCCCAACTTTTGCATGAGCAGTTTCAACCCAGTGTCGCATTCTCGCCCGGCGAGGCCCAGGGTTGCTGCAGTGCATGCGTGGACCCCAGACCCCGAAGTCATGATTGTTTCACAACCTGGGCCCCCAGAGGTCTCGACCAGGGCTCGAGCTAGCCGGTGTTTGGGCGATTTCGTGGACCGTGTTCGTTTTGACAGTAGAGGCCGGTTTGTCGTTTCGCAGCAGAGGCAGAACGAAGACAGAACGAAGGAACATTGAAAACGAAAATTCAAGGCATTGTTTAGCTCGAGCCCTGGTCTCGACCCATCTCACAGGGCCAGCTTCCAGCCCTGAGCCGTTGTCTGACGGTCCCGAAGCCCAGGTAAGGGCCCCCACGGTGGCCGAGTGCGAGAAATTTCCCCTCATGATTTCTGCGCTTCGCGACTCGAGGGGGTCTGGGACTGGAGGAGGAAAAGGACGACGACGACGACGACGACGATGACGACGACGACGACCACGAGCGGGAGGAGAGGAGGGCGAGCAGGAGTGCGGGGTCGCCCTTCCGCGGGCGGGCCCCTCTGCCGGCCTTTCTTGGCCCCAGCAGGTGCCCACGGGCAGGCAGACCCGTGTTGCGCGAAGAGGGGGGGGCAGGGCTCGCTTCGATTCCTCCGGTTCGATTCGATTCGACTTCGATGGCTTCCGATTCCGATTCGATTCGACTTGGGATTCCGATTTGGGTTCCGATTTCTCACTGGAGGCATACTAGCCTGCCAATGCCTACCGATTCGACGTTTCCTGGCTCGGCTGCCGATTTCCGCCGATCCGATTCATTTCGATCGCCGATTCGATTTATCGATTCGATTCTGGGCATTCCTGGGGCGCCCCAAGCGAGTCTCCGAGGGGCCTCCAGGCAAGCTCCGAGGGCGCCCCAGGAACGGCCCAAGAGAGGCCAGGTGGCTCTATACATATATATATATATATATATATATATATATATCAGACCGCTGGTTGGACACGGCGTGCTCTGGGCCCCCTGGGAGAGCCTCTCAAAGTCCGAGGGGGCCTGGCAAAGCCCGACGAAGGGAGGCACGTGGCACGCGAGGAGCCTCTGTGGCTGCGCCGCGGCGTCCTGCGCGTTCCGCAGAGGGTCCCGCCTGCGAGGACCGACGGAGAGTGGCATTTCTTCCCCGGCAGGCGGCGGAAGCAAGACGAGGCCGCCTCCTCCGGCAGAAGGCCAGCGGAGGCAAGAGATGCGCCCCCGAGAGGCATCAGCATTTTGTCCCCGGCCCAATCAGTGCTTGCGCTGAAGGGGTCCTGGCAGATGTTGAAAGATCTGGCGAAGGGTTCCCGCCGATGTTGGTAGCCGGCTGGGTTCCCGGTTCCGTGTTCCCGGGTTCCTGCATGGCTATTGGTTCTAGGCCGATGTCGGTGGGTTCTGGGTTCCCGGGTTCTTGGTCGATCTCCTTATCGATCTCTTCATCGATCCCATTTCACACCATCCATTATTGATTGGGCTTTTTGTCTGGTGTTATTTGTGGTCAGGGTTCCCGCCCGCCATTTGAGCGACGCGCGCAGGGGTCGCACATCGGATGAGGCACCATTGCACCGACAGGCAGCACTCTCGGAGAGGCCCGCGCGCGCGGATTTCTCTTGGATCGGCGCTGGACACCCCCTGTCGGCGCCTGCCGCGCCCCCCCCCCCCGGCAGGGAACCGGGCGCGCCAGGGAGGGGGACTTCGGACGGGGCTACAGGACGAGGACGAATCCGCCCCAGAGCGTTCCAGAAGGCTCTCAGAGCTTGCCAGAACGTTCTGAGAGGGCCGCGGCGCCCGAGGCATCCTCCAGAGCCGCTTGATCTCGGAGATTCTCGATCTCTCCTGGCCCAACTTTGTCCTCGTCCTGGCCTCGTCTTAACTTGCCGCACATCCAAGAAGTCCGTCCGGTGCTTCCTTTTTCGGAGCACGCAGTGGGTCCTTCGCCGGCGAGGCGGCACCGCCGTCGCCGCCGAAGATGCACGGGGAGCGGCTAGAACACGAGCGCACGCACGCTCACACGCCCGTGAGCACACGCAGGTGAGCGCTTTTGCTCCTCCCGAGGGTAGCGCTCGCTACCCAGGCCAACCGGCCAACCCTTCCCCCCCCCGCCCAGGTAACGCTAACGATCCTACTTTGGGGGGTGGGGGCCTGGATCCCCCCCCCAAGCATGATGTTGCGGTGCACACAGGCGATTGATGCGCCGGCGGCGCGGACGCACCCTGGCGGGTGCACGGCGCGGCCGCCGTTAATCACCCTTACCCTCCCGCCCGACCCCCCCCCTCCCCCTTATAGAACCCGGAGGGTGTGCCTACCCTAGGCCTACCCCCTAGGCCTACCCCCCAGGCCTACCCCCTAGGCCTGCCCCCAGGCTCGCCCGGCCCGACCCGACCCGCCCCGTCAGGGTCCACCCGACCCATCCCGTCTCGACCCGACCCATTCAGGTTCTCGCGTGTCCATTCGATGATGCATGATGCTTTGATGTCCCGCCCGCCTGGCCCGACCCGCACGTCAGGGTGCCGTACCCTTGGGCCTACCCCCTAGGCTTCCCTTAGCCCTACCCCCCAGGGCTTGCTTTCCTAGGCTTACCCGTAGCCCTACCCTTTAGGCTTACCTTGGGCTTACCCCTATGCTTATCCCCTAGGCTTGCCTCAGGTCTACCCCTAGGCCTTTCCCCTAGGCCTACCGTAGGCCTACCCCCTAGGCCTTCCCCCTAGGCTCACCCGGCTCACCCCTACGCCTACTCCCCAGGCATACCCTAGGCTTACCCCTAGGCCGTCTCCCTAGGCCTACCCCAGGCCTGCCCTTAGCCATACCCCCTAGGCCTACGCTAGGTCTACCCCTAGGCCTTTCCACTAGTCCTACCGTAGGTCTACCCTGGGCCTACCCCCAGGCCTACCCCCAGGCCTACCCCCTAGGCCTACCCTATACCTAACCCCTTAGGACTTCCCCTGGCCTACCCCTAGGCCTACCCCCTGGGCCTACCCCGTAGGCCTACCCCCTAGGCCTACCCTTAGGTCTACCCCCTAGGACTTCCCCCTAGGTCTACCCTAGGCCTAGCCCTGGGCCTTCCCCCTAGGGCTAGGGTAGGCCTACCTGTAGCCCTTCCCTCAACGTTTACGCTAAACCCATGCTTGGGCCTTCCCTAGGTCTACCCTCGAGTCTTGGGTAGGCCCTACCCTAGGTCTACCCTAGGGCGTTGGGTAGGGCCTACCCTAGGCTACCCTGGGGCTTTGGGTAGGGCCTACCCTAGGCTACCCTAGGGCCTTGGGTAGGGCCTAGGGTGGGCTACCCTAGGGACTTCGGTAGAGCCTAGGGTAGGTTTCCCCCCCCCCCTCGGATTCTATACCCCCGGGTAACGACCGTTACCCGAGAATGGAGAAGAACGTTCACAGGGTGCGTACTGCACTTCCTCTGACGTGCTGAAGACGCCAGTCAGCTGGTACGAGACAATTGCGGTCGCTCGACGTGGTTCGCTTGCTTCTCAAGCCGCGCGGGAGAGCTGCGAGTCTTTGAGACACCGTGCGGGGGCGGCACCAGGGCGGATACACACTGATGCTCTCTGCAGGCGGTGTGGCACCAACAGTCGCGAGTCAGATAGTTAGCTGGTAGTGAACATTTCAATTGCCAGCCTGCGTTCAGGGCGGTGCTCGGAGGTCCATTCACGCATTCACACAGTCAGGCATTCACACATTCACACATGCACACACACACACACATTCAGACACACACACACACACACACACACACACACACACACACGCACACACATTCACACACACACACGCACACACATTCACATAGTCACACACACAACACACAGACAGACAGACAGACAGACAGGCAGGCAGACAGGCAGGCAGGCAGGCAGGCAGGCAGACAGACAGCCAGCCAGCCAGCCAGCCAGCCAGCCAGACACTCACTCACTCACTCACTCACTCACACTCACACACACACATTCACACACACACACACACACACACACCCACGCGCGCGCGCGCGCGAGCGCGAGCGCGAGGGGGGAGGGAGGTCGACCTGCGCTTTTGGTCCACATCCCCAGGGTCGACGTTTCGGGCATTCGCACGTAAGTTGCGCGCAAGGTCGCAGGTAAGCGCCTTCATGTCCGCAAGGTGTGCCACACCTGCAGCCTGCGTAAGCCCACGAGAGGTCGACATTCCACCTCGCGTAAGGCTTTTGTCTTTTCTTGGCTCATCGTTCCTGCCGGGCGTGAGAGGCGCCCCGCCGCCAGCTCAGAAACCAATCGGGGCGGACCACAGACAGTCGGCAGCGCACGGCCGGGTTGTCGCCCTCGCGTTTTCCCCGTCTTGAGGGAGTTCGCAGCCGAGCCGACGACTGTTGAAGGCGACCTCCTCTGTTCAGGTCCTCAGCACGCGCGTTGGGCTGCTCACTTGAAGGGGAGTCCAAGTGAAACGTCCGCTTTGTTCTCGTCGTCATCGTCCACCTCCTCCAGCTCCACATCCACCTCGTCCTCCTCCCAATGCAAGCCTCTGGGGGGTTCGAAGGGCATGGCGTAGGGAGGGCGACGGATATGGTTACGCACGATGACGCACCGGATAGTGCGCTCGCAGCTACGATGAGGAGAGGTCGGTCCTGGGCTCCGCGACAGTGGAGCACTGATGTATTGAAGGCCTTCTGTGTCCAGTGGAGCACTCACATGCGGTGCCCACGCATTGTTTCATTTGAGCACTCCGAATTCCATTGCATCGGTGCCTTGACAGTGCTTTCGCACGGCGTAGTCTAGGAGCGACACGCAGCAGCTGCCAGCCAACCGAATGACTGACCGATCACTGCGACAGGAGCCACTGCAGGCGTGAGAAGGAGGAGCGGAAGGGCAGTCCAGGAGTCATACGGTACGGTTGGCGGCGGCCCGTCGACATAGTCGGACCCGCTTTGCGTACGGCGTGCAACTGGCGCCACGTCCTCCACCACCAAGTCAGGATGAATTCTGGAACCTGCAAGGTGGATTTTACGAGGTTCGCGGCATATCGTTTTGTTGGTACAGCGGTGGGGGCCATTGGCGAGGGCGGGGAAGGATGGGGGTGACGCGCCAACGTTGCTATGGCTCGTAATGGAGCGCGTCCGCATGCTTTACCATTCGCCACTGCTAGCCACTTCCTGCTACTAGGACGGTGGAGTGGGCTTTGCGCGACCATGGTCTGAGTTGATCGGTCGCTCTGCCTCAGGTCCCAGTACGGGGCGCCAGAGGCAGCTAAGAACGCGCAGAGAAAGGACGGCCATGTGCAGCTTCGCCCCCGCTCTTGTTGCTATCTCTTGGGAGCGACGCGATGGTGCGTATGCGCGCGTGCCGGCCGGGAACAGGCTACGGCGCGCATCCAAAGCGCAGGCGCACCGCAGCGACGCGCCTGGAGTTCGCGGCACAGGGCACGCTTTTTTCGCCGTGCAGAGTTCGCGTGTTCAAATTTCTGCCATGTCTACCTCACGCGCATGACCTCCCGCTCGCTCCGCGCAGTAGTCTGAGCATCCCTGTTTGCTTCTCTAGACGCCGGCGTCGCAGCTGTACAGGTGCCGTTCTCACCCCCAGAAGGGCGAGAGGGTGCAGGATTAAGCTGCAGTTCTGCCCCTCGTCGCCTGGAGACGGCAACGTTGCGACGCCGTGGCGCTCCTCTGTACAGAGGTGAGGCAGACTGGGGGGGCTCTGTCTCGGCGACTACAGAGGTTATGATTACGCTGGGGTGTGGTTTGCGATTGGCACCGTCAGGGCCCGGGGGGGCACGGCACGGTCCTCGTCGGGCTTCCTCGGGGCGCGGCGGAGAGCTCCATCGATGTCCCCGCCCGCCCCTTCGGGTGCCCCCCAGGGCGCCGGTTGCAAACGACACCCCTTGCAAATCACACCCTCTGGAGTCGCCGACTCTCGCCCAGGCTTTCTGCATCGCAGACTGGGAGGATCTTGGGGCTCGACCCCCCGCGATGCAGAGCTTGGGTCAAAGTCTTTGGGGCCGCTCCGACGCGCCGGAAGCGCACGCTGCCCCGGGGCCCGCCCTTTCTTTCCTCTGGGCACTGGCCTTCCCTGTACATGCCTCCTGTTGCATGCAGGAAGCCCAGACATGCTCGCGTCGTGGAAACAATCACGACTGGAGGGGTTTTCGGCCGTCGTCGGTCCCTGCGCCCTGGCCGGGCCCCGGGCCTGTCCAAAAACGATTCAGGATAAAAACTGGCCTTCGGGAAGGGTCGGAACTTCAGGGGGCCGTTTTGACAAAAATCAGGACCTCGCATGGCCAGGCGCGGTTCGCCCAGACCCCAGGGCTTTTCCAGGACGGGCTCCTCATCCTCAGTTGCTTGTGTTACAGTCCCCGGGCCCAGGGAGGGGCTCAGATGGCCGAAATCGCTGCATCCATAGAGTACATGCATATACTCAACGATTCGAGACATGTGTCGGGATGTCGGGAACCTATGCCTACGAATATGTACATATATAGATATAAATATAGATATGTGTGTATATATGTATATATATGTGCGTATATATATATGTATGTATATATAGGTGTGTGTCAATCAATATATATATATATATATAAATACATCTATGCATCTATCTATATGTATGTGGGAACATAGGTATATGTATGGGACTGTTCACATATATCAGAGTGAGGGGGCCGAACGGTCATTCGCTGTCCCTGGGTGCGTGGCTGAAGTGGAATTCCGCGGTGCGGATTCTCGTTGTTGTTATTGTTGTTGTTGTTGTTGTTATTGTTGTTGTTGTTATTGTTGTTGTTGGTGTTGCTGTTGTTGTTGCTGTTGTTGTTGTTGTTGTTGTTGTTGTTGTTGTTGTTGTTTGTTGTTGTTTTTTGTTGTTGTTTGTTGTTGTTTGTTGTTGTTTGTTGTTGTTTGTTGTTGTTGTTTGTTGTCGTCGTCCCACCCGCAACCCGCCCCGCGACCCACCCGCGACCCAACCCGCGACCCACCCTGCGACCCACCCGCGACTCACCCGCGACCCACCCGCGACCCACCCCGCGACCCACCCCGCGACCCACCCCGCGACCCGCCCGCGACCCACCCCGCGACCCGCCCGCGGCCCACCCCGCGACCCACCCGCGACCCTCCCGCGACCCACCCGCGACCCATCCGCGACCTACCCCGCGACCCAGCCGCGACCCACCTTCGACCCAAACCACGTTTAAGGTACAAACCACAATTTTTGGCGCCTGCGGCGGGCTTTTTTGAATTCCTTCCAGGTGGAGAATCCGCGACCCACCCCGTGACCGACTCGCGACCAACCCGCGACCCAAACCACGTTCAGGGTACAAACCACATTTTTCGGCACCTGCGGCGGGCATCTTTTGCATTCGTTTCAGGTGGAGAGCCCGCGGCCCACCCGCGAACACGTTCAGGGTACAAACCACATTTTTCGGCGCCTGCGGCGGGCATCTTTTGCACTCGTTCCCGGTGGAGAACCCGCGGCCCACCCGCGACCCAAACCTCGTTCAGTGTACAAACCAATGTTTGTTGGCGCCTGCGGCGGGCTGCTTTTGCATTCCTTCCAGGTGGAGGTGGAGGGCCCGCGACCCACCCGCGACCTAAACCACGTTCACTGAACAAACCAATGCCGCACAAGCGCGGCGGCGGATTTTTGCATGCCGTCTGAGCCCGCAAGGACCTCTTCAAGCCCCGCGCATCCACACTAGCCCGTCCAGCAACTTTGCCCTGGCGAGTTGCCTTGATCAGAGAAGGCGGGGAGCATAAAGTGGAAAAAAGGATTGCGTCGCAGTTATCTTGGGAAAGGAGGGGGAGGCAGGAGGAGTAAACAGGGGACGAGGAGAACGCGGAAGAAGAGAGGATGTAAGGATAATGTGGAGAAAGAAAAGGAGGAGGAGCAGGAGGACGAGGAGGGGGAGGAGGGGGAGGAGGAGGGCGAGGAGGGGGAGGAGAGGGAGGATGATGATGATGATGATGGACGACAATGGGAGGACGATGATGGAGGCCGATGAGGGGGAGGACGACAATTGGAGGACGATGATGAAAAGACGAGGGGGGGAGAGGGAGGACGAGGAAGAACAGGAGGAGGAGGACGAGGTGGAGGAGGATGACGATGACGATGAGGACGAGGAAGAGGAGGAGGACGAGGAAGAGGAGGAGGAGAAGGAGGAGGAGGAGGAGGAGAAGGTGGAGGAGAGCGCCATCGACCGGGAAGGTGGGGGCCACGAGATCCGCCGGCTCGACGACGCCCGCGTCGCCCGCGGCCGCCCCCTTTTTCTTATCCGCAATTGCGGGGTGCTACGTATATATATATATATACACACATATACAAATATATATATATACATACACATACACATATATAAATGTGTGTATAGAGAGAGAGATGCCCAGACATACGACTTCTTGATTTGTTATCACGAGCCCCCCCTCGAAGTCCCGACCCCTTCCCCGGGGGCCCGCTCTTCGTCTCGAGACGCCTCTGGAGGACGCCCCGGGGCTCGCGACGTGGCCCCCCAGAGGCCGGAAGCGGCCAGGAGGGGCTCCGTCTGGCTGTTTGCCTTCGCGACATCGGCAGGTCTGGGCTCCCCTCAGGGGGGACAAGCAATGACGTAAAGATGCGGATCCAAGAAAGATCCGCGCGGACCTCCGAGTTTCGTGTTGATGCGCTTTTTCGTTCCCCTGCTTCCGCTCCGAGACGCCGACCACGCCCAATGTCCGGCCGCGCCGCGCTCGGCGCCGCCCCTCTCGGGGGGCGACCTGCCCGCTCCGAGCTCGGCGCTGCCCCTCTCGGGGGGCGACCTGCCCCAGACACCCGACGCCGCGGAGGAGGCACGACGCCTTGCAGAGGCACGACCGGTCGACGACGACGACGACGACGAGGAGGAGGAGGAGGAGGAGGAGGAGGAAGAGGAGGAGTCGCCAGGGGGGAAACGGGTCATAAGGTTCGGGGTCTCGGGGCCCTTCACGGGTCCCTGGACTGCCAGAAAGCGACTCGGGATGAAGAGTTGGTCCGGGGCGGAGACCCCAGGGTCCAGGACCCGTTTCCCTCAGGAACCGTTTCCCCCCTGCCACGAGGAGGAGGAGGAGGAGGAGGAGGAGGAGGAGGAGGAGGAGGAGGAGGACGAGCTCTCGCCCCCAATTGAGGATTCAGTTGCACGACTGCACTCGAAGAAAAATGGCATAAACAGAAACATTCGCCAGTCCGCGCGTACTTCTGGGATCCGCGCTGGACCTCCCTGGCTGCCTCCAGCACCGTCCCTGGCGCGCGGAGCGCGCCATGAGGGTTTCAGATCCAAGAAATCCGCGCGGACCTTTCGAAGTTCATGTTCACGCCCTTATCTCTTCCTCGAACGATCCCAAACTCTATTGTGCTTGGGTGCACCTAGCCCAGTCGAGTGTGCTTCAGTCGAGGGCTCTCTCACTCTCTCCACCTGGAGCCAAGGGAGAAGACAACACCCACCCACCTACCCCGCACACGACCTGGAAACTCTGAGGACACGGTGCTGGCTGCCATTGCGCCAAGTCGATCAAAGCCCACCCCTTGCAACGTCGATCTTCGGAGGTTGATGGAGCCCCTACCCTGCCAAGTCGGTCAGCGAAATGCCACGTCTCGATGCCCAAGAGGGCATTGCGGCCACAGCGTTTGCGGGCCTGCGCTCCGCCGGTCTGCTCCCAGGGCGTTCTCACTGGAAAGTGTTTTTGTCAAAGGGTATTGTGCCCACCTCGCTTTCTCAGGAGCGGAAGAAGGACGTACACGTACATGAATCCACGCTGGTTTCGAGAGGATGTGTTGGGCAACTATTCGTATAACGCGGCCAGTCTCGCAGATCGAGGGGCCGTGTTCATGTACATAGCTGGGCGCGTACGTCCTTTGTGGGCTCCCTACTTCCGGATTTCGAGGAACATGGGTAGGCATGGACCGCTGCTGAGCCCCCCTGGCGGCGCCTCCGGCGCCGCCCCTGGAGCGCTCCGCGCCCCAGGGGAGGGGGGGGGCCCCAGGCGCAGATCCGAGAGCTTCGCGTGGAACGCTGGAAGCTCCATGTTCATAGAGGAGGAGGAGGAGGAGGAGGAGGAGGAGGAGGAGGAGGAGGAGGAGGAGGAGGAGGAGGAGGGGGCGTTCCTGTGGTGCACGATCGCGACCAGAGCCATCGCCCTGCGCCTCCTCTGCCAGGTCTGGCGAGCCCTCGCGGCCCGCGAGGGCCCCGGGGCCCTCGGGCGGGCACGGAGCGCTGGCTGTGCTGCCGTGGTCCTCTCCCTCGGCGTCCGGGTGTCGGGGCAGGTCTGATTGTAGGGGAGGGGAGAATGTCGGAGGTTGATAGACCTCCTACCCTGACACGTCGATGAGCGAATTGGCCGTTTCCGGTTCGCGAGAGGGCGCCGCGGCCGTCATTTTTGCGGGTACGGGTCCGTCGGCTTCGGTGTCAGGCCGTTTTCACTAGAAAGGCAGGTTTGCTACAGGGAGGTTTGTCCACCGCCGAATGAACATAAAAGCTCGGAGGTCCGCGCGGATTTCTCGGATCGGCGCTGGGGTCCCCTGGCGGCGCCGCCGGCGCCGCCTCTGGCGCGTTCCGTGCGCCAGGGAGGGGGGTCCGGCGCGGATCCGAGAAATCCGCGCGGACCTCGGAGTTTTCATGTTTATGTCATTCTTCGTTCCCCTAGACTGAGCGATCCAGAGCCTTCCGAATGCTCGGGTGGCCACCGGGTTCCTCTTCTCGGGTGCTGCCAGAGGAGGCCCCGCCCCACGCGGGGGTTCATTTGCGCGGCACGTCGGTGCCACGATGGCATTCCGAAAGAAGCAGCAGAATTGGCGTGGTCGAATCGAGGGGGCCCGAGCGGTCTTGCTTTCTCCCTGCGCGCGCGCGCTGCTGCATCGGAGGCCTTGGGGGCTCACACCCAGGGGCTCTATGCACGTGGGGGCGACACTCGGGGGCTGCAGTCGAGGCGGACTCCTACGTCGGCCCCGCCAGATCCTGGGCCCCCTCGCGTCCTGCGCGCGTCGTGACCCAGGCCGTCTGCATGCCTCTGGCGGGTGTGGCCCTCGGAGGGGCCTTGGGGTCCTCTCGCGCGTCCTCGCCGATCCATCTCGACCGTACGATCGGGGGCCACACCTGGGGGCGACGCCTGGGGGCTGCACATACGGGCAGCACGTATGGCCCTCGGAAGGGTCTTTGGGTCCTCTCGCGCGTCCTCGCCAATCCATCTCGACCGCACGCTTTGGCGGCTACGCCTGGGGGCGACGCCTGGGGGCTGCACATTCAGGGCAGCACGTATGGCCCTCGGAAGGGTCTTTGGTTCTCTCGCGCGTCCTCGCCAGTCCATCTCGATCGCACGCCTTGGGCGCTACGCCTGGGGGCGACGCCTGGGGGCTGCACACAAGGAGGAGGAGGAGGAGGAGGAGGAGGAGGAGGAGGAGGAGGAGGAGGAGGAGGAGGGGAAGGAGGAGGAAGAGGAGGAGGAGGAGGAGGAGGAGGGGGAAGGAGGAGGAGGAGGAGGAGGACGACGACGACGCGGCAGAAGGGCAGCACGCCTCGGCCCAGGCGTCGGCCGCGCCGCCGCCCCCCCCACTCACTCTCGTCCGCCAGGGGCTTTGCGAATGAGGCGAATTCGGGGGTCCGTCGATCTTGGGGGGGCCTCGGGGGCCGTCTTGGAGCGACGGGAGACGGGGAAGGCGAGAGCGAACGCGTAGTCCTCGTAAGATATTTTTCGGATTATGTTACTTTAGCATTTTTTCAAAAAATGTTACGTCACCACAAACGTTTTTCGCCAGGGAGATCCGCGGATCGCACCTCCCGGGGTCCGTCCTGGAGAGCCCCTGCTGGAGCACTCCTGGGGCGCCTCTCGGGGGCACCTTGGGCCGCCTGGAGGCAATCTTGGTCATCCCGGAACGATCCTCCGGCGACTCTCGGTATCGTTCAACCGATCCCCATCCGCATCCCCATCCACATCTCGAGCCCCACCGTCCGTCTCACCACCTCAGCTGGGGATATGCCCCTTGAAGCCCGAAGACAGCAGCCTATATCCCCATCCAGGGGGGCAAATCGGCCAGTGGGGCCCCCAGTCCACGCTGGTGGGGATGGGGATCGGTTAAACGATGCTCAGACCCGAGGCCCCTCGTGGACCGTCCTGGGGGGCCTCTGCTGGGCCCTCTTGGGCTTGTGTGCGGGGGGCCCGCGGTCCCTCGAGGAGGCGTTCGAGCCGGGGCCATGCCTGGCCGGGGGGGGGGTCCAACTCCCAGCTTGGGGCCACTATGTGGGGGGGGGGCGGGAGCCTTGAGACGGGGGTCAATGCAAACTCAGGCGATCGCAAACATGGATCAAGGGGGCGTGGAGTAGCGACGGGTCCCGCTTCCACGGGAAATCGCGGATTTCCGCCGCCGAGCGAGGCGGCACCGGCCGCATTTGGGGGAGGGCACCTCCCCCGATCCATGGATTTGGCGACCGCGCGCCAAATCCATGGATCGCTAATCCATGCTTGCGCCCCCGACAGACAGGGGTTAGCCAGAGCGCCGGATCTTGCAGGATCTTGCAGGGCCCGGGTCGCATTGACCTGGGCTCGGGTGCTGGCTCTTGCAGGATCTTGCAGGATCCTGCAGAGCCTGATTTGCCCCGGGGTTTCTGCCTTGCCCCAGGTCAACCCAGAGATCCGATGTCGTGAAGTCTCGACCAATTCCCCTGGACCCGTTTTTCATCCTGAGTCGTTTTTTGACAGTCCCGGGGCCCAGCGAGGACCTTAGACGCCGAAATTTGAGAAAACCATCCGCCATGATTTTTTCAATACGTTGGATCTCTGGGAAGGAGTCCCCGAGGGGGAAATGATGGGGGGGAGCGGTCTCGCACGCCTGGAGACCCACGAGGGAGGGGCAAAAGCTTGTGTCCATGCGCACGGCCGCGGAGGTCTCGGCCCTTTCTCCCCGGGTGCAGGCGTTCGCCTGGGGCGATCCTGGTATGGCCCCGGGACCCGACGACGACGGCGACGACGACAGCGAAGACGACGTCGACGACGACGACGACGACGACGGCTGAACAATTACTCACTGCGTTGAGCTCCCCATATGTGCATCCCATGTTTTATCTTATGCCGTTGTGAGCGTCTGTTCATGAGTGTCTCCCGGTTCACACCAATGTGCTCCCAGTCCACACCAATTCTGGGTTTCACTGTAAGCTCCCGCCCCCTGATCCCGGACTCCAGGGATCTCCGAAGCGAAAAAAACAACCGAAAACAACGCCCCCAAAAAACACCATCTGAAAAACAATAGAAAAACATATGGTCACGCCTCACAACATCTCCATTCGCGAACGACAGGAGTTCCCGGGGCCCAAGAATCCCCAGAAACCAAAATCTAAGAAAACGGCTGCATTTCCCCTGCTTTCGATTCCAATGGACGGAAGGTGTGCTCCAGGTCTTCTAATTCTTGCAATCTGTTCCGTTCGTCCCATGGGGTACGTACCGGAGTACGACCCAAGGGAGCAGCACGCGTCATCTCCTTCTTCCTTGCGTCCCAGAGGGTACGTGCCGGAGCACGACCCAAGGGAGCAGCACGCATCCTCCCTCATTTCCTTCCTCCGTGCGTCCCAGAGGGTACGTGCCGGAGCAAGACCCAAGGGAACAACACGCCTCGATTCCTTCCTCCGTGCGTCCCAGAGGGTACGTGCTGGAACACGACCCAAGGGAGCAGCACGCCCCGACTCCTGCCTCGACTCCATCCTCCGTGCGTCCCAGAAAGTACGTGCCGAAGCACGACCCAAGGGAACAGCAACTTGCTGGTCCCCTTTTGGGAGTGCTGAAACCAGCGCCGCGCCTGAGACATCTCCAAAGCTGCTGTTGTCGCAGACGATGTTGGGCACCGAAACAGGCAAACCGCTTGAGACATCCCCACAAACTGGCCGCGAACGGGCTCGTGATATACCCCCTGGCGGCTCCCCTCAGGAGTGCTGAAACCAGCGCCCCGACTGACACATCCTCATAATCTGATGTAGACGCAGACGATGCTGGGCACCGGAACAGGCAAACCGCCTGAGACATCCCCTCAAACTGGCCGCGAACGGGCCCATGATATACCCCCTGGCGGCTCCCTTCAGGAGTGCTGAAACCGGCGCCCCGACTGACACATCCTCCAAATCTGTTGTAGACGCAGACGATGCTGGGCACCGAAACAGGCAAACCGCCTGAGACATCCCCACAAACTGGCCGCGAACGGGCCCGTGATATACCCCCTGGCGGCTCCCCTCAGGAGTGCTGAAAACAGCGCCCCGATTGACACATCCTCCAAATCAGCTGTAGTCGCAGACGATGTTGGGCACCGAAACAGGCAAACCGCTTGAGACATCCCCAAAAACTTGCCGCGAACGGGTCCGTGATATACCCCCTGGCGGTTCCCCTTAGGGGTGCTGCAGCCAGCGCCCCGCCTGAGACATCCTCAACATCTGCCGTGCGTTGAGCAACTCAGACTATGAGAAAGTTTGAGTATGTGTAGGTATGAGTATGAGTAAGTCTGTGTATGAGTACGTCTGGGAATGAGTAAGTCTGAGTATAAGTAAGTATGTGTATGAGTAAATCTGTGTATGTGTACGTCTGGGTATGAGTAAGTCTGAATATGAGTAGGGCTGAGTATGAGTAAACCTGAGTATTAGTAAGTCTGTGTATGAGTAAGTCTGTGTATGAGTAAGTCTGGGTATGAGTAAGTGTGTGTATGAGTACGTCTGGGTATGAGTAAGTCTGAGTATGAGTAAATGTGTGCATGAGTAAGTCTGTGTTATGGGTGTGTTCTTGTTCTCTGGAGTCGGCGGCGTCCAAGAATTATTCACTGCGTGGAGCTCCCCATATGCGCATCTACTCGCATGGACCTGTCCGCCGTGAATGTCTAGGCGCAAGAGCTTTCGAATATTAACGGGCTTCAGTTGTGACGGTCTGGACATCAATCTAACTGCGAATGAATTGGAGTGTGAATGAGCCTCAGTAGTACAAGCGCGTCTTTGTGCATGAGCCTGGGGCCTCCTGGGGCGTCCTGAAACCTACTGGGGCTTCCTGGGGTCTCCAGGAGCCTCTTGGGACCTCCTGGGACCTCCTAGTAAGGTTTCGTGCCCCAGGAGAGGCGCAATCTAGCAACAGACGTACATAAAACATTGCGGATTAAGGTTTCGTGCCCCAGGAGAGGCGCAATATATAGCAACAGACGTGCATAAAACATTGCGGATTAGAGCCCAGGAGAGGGCAATATATAGGAACATGAGTAAAACATTTAGGATTGTGTACACAGGAGAAGGACCATCAATAGAAACATACGTAGAACATCAAAGAATCGTGCTCCAGGTGAGGCCCAATCGATAGGAGCATACGTAAAACACATGGGATTGGAGCCACTCCTGTTGCCTTCTGAGGCCTCCTGCTCCTGGGGCCTCTCGGGGCCTCCTGTTGCCTTCCGAGGCCTCCTGGCGCTTCCTGTTGCCTCCTGGGGCCTCCGGTGGTTTCCTGAGGCCTTCTGGAGCTTCCTGGGGCCTCCTGGAGCCTCTTGGGACATCCTGTGGCCTCTTGAGTCTTTCTGTGGCCTCCTGATGCCTCCTGGTACCTCACGTGGTCTCCTGGGGCCTCCTGGAGTCTGGCCCACCTGGGGGGTGAAAATTAGCGCCTCGCTCGAGACATCCTCCAAATCTGCTCCGAAAGCGAAGGATTTTGGGCCCAGAAACAAGCAAACCGCCTGAGACATCCCCACAAAATGGCCGCGAACGAGCCCGTGCAAACACCCCTGGCGGCTCCCCTTAGGGCCACGAGCCTGGCCACCCAAACAAGCAAACCGATCGAGACATCCTCAAAATCTGGCCCACCTGGGGGGTGAAAATGAGCGCCTCGCTCGAGACATCCTCCAAATCTGCTCCGAAAGCGAAGGATGTTGGGCACAGAAACAAGCACACCGCCTGAGACATCCCCACAAAATGGCCGCGAACGAGCCCGTGCAACCACCCCTGGCGGCT